GTTGAAGAGAAATGGAATGTTCTGGACAAATGTGAATCGAGTCTAAGGATTAGGAGATGAAATTAATCACTTTTTTCCTTTAAAAAAGTGATTAGGAAAGAGGTCCATCTCAACATGGGTCATAGTTTGGTAAATAATTCAAGAGCCTTCATAGTATGATACTGAATTTATAAAAGAAAATAGAGTTTTTAAACATTTTTTGGCAAGGAACATCCAGGCACCAAGACAACAGTATTAAAAACAACTGAACAGAAAAAATATTCATAGCATAGGATCCTAAAATTGCCCTTGGGATTTACTATGAAAAATGGCATGTGGGGCCTGACTTCAAAGGCCGACAGAGAACAGATGCATCGAAGTCTGGGTTATATTACACTAATCTCTTAAGGGTCTTCTATCTAATCTCTTTCTGGCCATTGCTAAGTACCAGGGATATGACTGCCACTATAATAAATATCAGAGATTATCTAAACTTCTGAGGAGAAATCCATCTAACAGACATCAAAACCTGTCTAGGCATCGTGGGTCCTTAGCCTTTCTTTGGCAGAAACAAAGACAAAGGCAGATCAAATCCTTCCTCAGCAAGGACCTATGATTTACCAGCTTCTAAATATTTTCATCTTCATTGTACCTTCCCGCACCTCTGATAGCATTTTTGAACATTAGATCCTGTAAAAGCAAAGAGCAGTAGAGAATACTTCGTTTATTAACTCCTGAGTAAAATAGTCATGCAAATTAAACCCGATCTATAGGCCTGGTCACAGGGGAAAAAAATTAGCTTAAAAGAACTGACTTGATTAGATTTTTCTTGCATCAAATCCCGTTTTATATACTCTTATTCAAGCTATCGCCATAACGATACCCAAGCTCTCTACACTCTTCAGCTCACTGAATCCTCACGCAACTCCACACGGTGAATATTATTAACATCATTTCACAGGCAAGGAAAGTGAAGCTCTAAGAGGTAGGTCATTTCACCAGATCTCACAGTTGGTAAAAAGTAGAGCAAAGAGTCAAGAATTGATTATCCGACTCTAAAGCCAGTGTTTAACCGTATGTTACAGAAACGCCATGCCCCTCTATTTGTGCAAAGAAATCACTGTCAGACATAACCTCAATCATGATTTACAGCTGCATCATACTTTATAGCTGACAAAGAACCCCCACGGCCTCCTCCTGGGGTGGGGGGCACCGAGTACAGTATTACTCTGCATACATAGCTCGTTTCTCTTGGTCACTTCCTGGGAAATCCAGAAAATGGGACGCTTCAGATAGTTTCCAAACAGCCCCTCAGCTGTTCCCACCTCACCCAGGGAGGGGACTGGGAGGAGGTCCGTGGATTTAAGAGAAAGATAGATTCAATGAGTAAAATTCTTTATAGTACATATTTTTCAAAGCACTTCTACATTCATGAGCTGACCTAAAGCCACCTACCCTACGGCAGGAGGGGCAGCACGGGAGCATCTTCCCCATTTGAGGGGTCAAGGGACAGAGGCTCAGAGCTCCTAAGTGAAGTCCCAGAGTTAGCGGGTGACACTGGCAGGACCAGAACCAAGGTCTTCCAGTTCCCTTCTCATCGATCAGTCCCTTCTTGGGGGTTTGACCCACACCACAGGGGCTCAGAGGGCCCTCTACCTTACCGCAGGTGTGCCTAGCATCAGGTGGGTCCTGCAGGTGAAGACACAAGCCCACTGTCCATGACCACCATTTCCCCCCGGGAATCTGGCAGTGATTCTAAAGAAACAAAGCGCGGAAACACCTGTGTTCTCTTATTTTACCTATCTACAGACAAAAACCTCAACGGGGACAAGGGTTAAGTGAACAATTTTAAAAGTGAAAAATCATCAAAGCCACCATGAGAAGAGACATAGTCTGAATTGTAGACTTAATCGAGACAGTCTTTCTAATGCCTTGTCAAAATGGGACCATCTCCTTAATGACAACTTAATGTGAAATCACAACTCTAGTTACAGATATTCTCGGCTCCTCCCACAGAGCACGAGCACCAGAGAAAAACATCTTCATCCAGGATCACGTTTGGCTACGCCGGGCATGCAGTTCGCGAACCTCGCACTCACCTTGAGAAGAACGGTCTGCGTAAAAGCAAAGATTTTTCCAAAGCATCAGTCTTAATGCTTTAAAAACGTACCAACACCAAAACAAGTGTGCAAAAAAAAGGAGGAGCAACAAATATTTCCAAATGGTTAACAGACTTAAAGACACACAGCATCTTATAATGATTCTTCATTAGAAAGCAGCAGCACGGTCTTAAGTGTCTAAAACAGGAGAACTTTTTAATTTGGGCCTTTCGGAATTACATTTGTGTTGGTCTGATAGTCCCTAAGGGGCTATGCGACATAAGTTGTCTTCCTTTTAACATTTATTTAAAACATTTAAAACATTTTTTATATTCCCTCCAGTGTCCCCTAAAAAAAATTGGGAAGAACCCTAAGACTAAAACTAAAATTTAAAAAAAAATTACATTTCTTTAACAAGAAAATGAATACAAATGACCCATTTGGATTTTGTGTTGCTTTGGGGGAAAGTCAAGGAGGAGAACCCAGGCAGAGAAGCCTGGGTAACTAACTGTTAGGGGAGGTGGGAGCAGCCCCTTCTCCGGTTTCTCCACCCCCACCCCCAGAGACACCTTATCATCTTTCAAGAGCCAGCTCACAGACATGCAGCTTTCACAGCCACTCCGTCTCCACCTCTACTCTAGCTTGGCCATCCTGCACTGCCTGACAACAGTTTCCTCCCCACGCCCGAGACAATGACTGTCTGAGCACAAGGCCCCCATCTGTGTCTTCGACATCTTGGCACCGCGGCTTCTGGCCCAGAGCCGGGCACTCAACAGGAACTTAGGAAAAGCTGACCAAATTAGCGAACGCGGATGCCCGACTCTGCTCTGCAGACGTGGCTCTTCCTGTACACAGAGCACGGCTTAGCATTTCCTACCCAAGTGGCCTTACAGGTGGCGCAGAGTCAGTTGCAGCCCCACATCATGGAACGGACTGAAAACTGCTGCGAAATCTCAGATTTTATTGTAAAAATTCACGTGTCATTTGCGCTCTCCTTCATAAGGGATCTAGTTTTGTTCTGATTCAAAACTGTTTTTAAATTACTTACTATTTTCCCCAAAGTATATTTTAGTACACTGGTTGTTCCACCATGGTGTGTGCCTGTTTTTATCCTCCAGCTTTGGGCACCACCCCCCTCGGAGTGCATATTTAACACCCACCATTGTAACAAGGAGTCCCTCCCTCCCATTTCCGGTTTTCCTTTTTAAGCTGCCTCATCACGCAGGGGTGATGTTCCTGCTCTGGGAGCGCAGGGATAAGGCATGTCACTGGCACTGTTAAAATCAATCGCTTCCACGGCCTCAGTTTAGTTGGGTTTAGGAGGCACGGGGTGCCAGGAATTCACAACAGAATCGCTGTTACCCTTGTACGGGCCGTTTCTGTGGTAAAGTCATCACGATGCTGTTTCTCCAGGGATACATTCCACCCTTACCATCCCGACACTAACCTAAGGCCGTGGCGGGTCACTAGGAGGAAGGCACTTTTAAGGTTTTAGGTGAAAGAACATGAGGCTCGAAGAGCCATTTATCTATAGAAGGAAGCTTTGGTTGAGGTGGGGGGCAGGGGGTAAGCTGTCACACCCCCAACTCAGTCCCTACTCCCCTCAGTGTGGGGCACGGGCTCCAGGGCCATTTCTAGACAGGGCTTCACAGGACAGTGTACATCCATGGTGTAAAAGTGACCACACTCGGTCAAGGAGAATTCTGAACGTGTTATCCCTGAAAACAGGCAGGGTAGGTTAGAGGGAAGATGAGGAAAGGAAGCAGAGATGGATCACTAGCTCTGCTTTCTGCTCTGGAAAAGGCAGTGTTGAGAAAAATGCGATAAAGGTCTCTCCAGTGACTCAGCATTACACGAAGACATCACTTCCCCCAAGATACAAGCTTGGAAAGGCACAGATAGAGTGAGTGAGGAGTAGATGAACTCACTGGGAATGAAGCCTATCAGCAGTGTCTCCTGAGGATGTCTGAGCTCAGGGCGCGACAGACGCTCCTCTGGGGAGATGGGCACCTCCTGGGCCTCGGTCGCACTCCCAGCCCCGACCCCGCCCCGGCAATGGCTATATACTGGCTCTGCTTCTGAGAGTCTGGAGAGCCCTGGTTCCCTTCTCTGGGGTACTCCCCCATCTGGGGTGTCTGTGGGATGGGGAGGACGCAGAGCTGCCCAGAAGGGCTCTGGGATGGCAACTACAGGCAGGGCGAAGCCCCCCTCCTGACCCAGTCTCCAGCGAACACCCTGTCAATCCACCGAGCCAAGGGGGTCAACAAGATGAAATTTCAAAACTGGTGACTGAGTGACATGGACGATGATAAGGCCATAGGCAATTTAGGTGCAAAAGCTGATTACTACCCTGCATTAAAGACAGATTCTACAAGTTAAGATTAAAAATGAATTGAAGGGAGCATTCTCACAGTGACAGCAGCAGAAAACCAAGCTAAGAAACGATCCCGATCTGAAGGATGTGAGAGTTTGAAACTATTCAGTATTTATGTGCTAATCTAGGCTTATTTCTCTTTTACCATGAAATCTGAAATCATCATGATACACTGCAGGTAAAAAGGGCCAGGTTATGTACTAATGGGAAGAAAACCACAAAAGACAAAGGCCCTTTCCTGGGGGAGACCAAGGCTGGGAATCCTTTTACTCACTTTTAATCTACTTCTACACACTGGCAATATTAACGTGACTGGCTTCGGAGACATGGTTCCATTAAATTAATAGTGTTTGGCAAGCATCAGAAACACAGAATCTCACAGACAGACACAAGCAGAAAGAATCACAGTTTAGTCCAAAAGCAACACACAGAGGGGACATCAGAGTCCACATGCATGCAGAGAAAGCCGCAGGGAGCAGCTGGGGGACACGCAGAGCCGCCCGACACACGGCAGCAGCAGAATGTGGAACACGGATCCAACTGCTTACCCACTAAGGACACCAAGAACCAGGTTAAGGACGAAAAATGAGCCAAGGATGATCAGACTAACAAAATACACCCATGGCCATTCCCATCCTATCGCATCATTTACCTGTAAAATGTAAGGAGATTAGTTATCAGTTATCCATTTGCCAAAGAGCAGAGCCCCAAGAACAGCTGCTGGACCACTAGGGCTTTGATTAAAGACTGGTGCTCCTAGAAGGGGACGCCGCCAAGGGCCTTCCATTTTTGTTCTTTCAATAAGGACAGGTTCTGCTGCTGAAGCCTACAAATGCGACCTACCCAAAATCATTTAGCTACTGTTTTGTACCAATTAATCTGCGTTATATCTGGATCCAGGCCAATAACACAATTATAGATGTATCTCCTTTTAGGACAAATGGGCAAGCAATGCCAACAATTTAAATCCCAAGTGACAACGCTGATTAATTTCTGGTCAATAATGATCCTATAGCTTTCTTTCATGAAGGCTGGTAAGGTTCCAGGAAACATCTTGATTTGGGAAGCCTCAGCAGAAAAGAAAGTATCTTGGAGGACACACAAAATGCTTGGCACCCACCCGGCGGCCCCCATCTAGCAAAGCCTGTGTGGTCTTGGCAACTGTCCTCGGGACTCTGCTTTCAAGATGAAAGAGGTGTAGCTTACCCGCTCAATACACCAAGTACAAGATTTAGTACGAAAAATGACCCAAAGATGACGAGACTGACAAAATACACCCAGGGCAATTCAAATCCCATAGCATCATTCATCTGTAAGAAATAAGATGGTCTCATAGGAGTGGGTTAATAAGAGAATCTAATAAGGAGAGAGGGTTACATTAGAGACAGCATTCTATACATTTAATTAAACATTTACTTAGCTTCAAATCAGACAACAGTAGCCAATGCACATTCATTATATATTCCCAAAACACACACGCACACGCACACAGGGCCATCAAAGCTCTCAGGGTAAATTAAGCAAACTTTGGCCACTGCTAGGGCAATCAGCTGGGATTTGGTTCCTTCTCACAGGAAACTGCCTTGGTAAGGGATTTTCAGAAAAGATCTTGACAGAAGACAAAACTAGTGCTTAGCTGGAAACTATTTTCTACTCTGCCCAAGTTGTCAGTACTATTTTTGCTTTCAAAATTTGTGATGGTGGAAAAGTCTTAGTTATAGAGACAAATTTGCAACATTTGACTCTATAAATTCTTTTCTTTAAAAAAAAAAAAACCCTAAAATAATAACTTTCCACTGGAAGCCAACCAATCCAAGGAAACCTAACCCACTTTAAATCTGGATTATCTGCTATCAGCGAGTGCAAGCACAGCTAAATTAATGCAAAGAAGGAAAGTATTCAGAAGTCACCTAGCTGACACATTCAGGGGTGCTTTGGGGAATGACATTTTTTTCCATAACTGGACCCATAGGAAGGACCCAGGAGAAGGAAAGAAGCCCTTATCCTCCACACCTAGCTTGAACCTACATGACCCACCCTGGGGGAGCTGGCTCCAGCTGTGAGCTGTTCCAGAGGAACCTGGTGTCCCTGCTTCTAGGACAAGCTGAAGCAGCACAGTCAGACATGGCCTCCCGGATACACCTTCCCAGGAGAGGTCTGATCATGAGCAGCCTTCATGATGGAGCAAACAAGTGCTTTCAGGTTCACGGCTGGATGGAACTTTCCGGCAGCACAGATCACGTTAAATCGGGCAAACGCTTCTCCAGGGAGGAAGTGTTAAGGACTGGTGAGGGGACAGAATGAATGACCCCGGGCCTGACTTTGTTGGAACAGCCAGAATCTTCGGCTAATAGAACAGTATATAGTCTGGGCTGATTCATCGTTCTTGCCTTGCAGGGTCAGGCCCTTAGGCCTTTATGCATGTGCTTTCCTTTACATTATCTGGCGCTAGATTTTTAGCTTTACAGACCTAAGCTCAAGCATTTCACTGTCTGCCTCATGCAGAAACCAAACGGAAAAAGAGAACATAAAAAAAAAAAAAAGAAAAACAATTACCTAACATCTGCTGCTGAAGTCTAGGGAGAGGGCATTAAATCCCTTACGAAACACCTGTTTGGCCACATGAAAATGGATGTGCTTAGTAGAACTGCTATGAGTCTGCACATCTTACATCGGCAATTAGAGTAATGAATGAGGCAGGGCCGTGGCTGCAATTGTTGATCTCATTAAGTTGGATAAACTAATTTCAGCAGGAAGGCCAAGGGTAATTCTTCCAAAGCAACTACACCGCTAAACATATTTAATAATCCAGACGTGGAGGAGAAGAAACAGGCTGCCTGGTGGAGGGACCAGAGCCCAGCCTGGAGCCAGGGCCTTCCACAGAGACCTCTCTGGGCCTGCTTCCCCTCTGTTGTAGCCAGAGGAGTGCACATGACAGGGGTGAGTGGGCCTGCTCACGGGGAATAAGGATGTGCACGTCCAGGACTCCCACCGGAGACCCCGCTCTCCCACAACTCTGGAAAAGTGGGCCAGCCGTCAGCCGAGCACCTGCCCCACCCATCCTCTCTGAGGCCTCAGTCCCATGTTCCAGAGAATGGCTCCAGGAACAGCTGTCTGCTCCAACTTGGGAGGGAACATTTTTTTTAAGTAAAGAAACTTTTAATTTCTTAGAAGTAAGTGTGCAACAGACTCCCATTTGCTCAAATCAGAAATATCACCTGGAATAACAGCTAGGGGCCAAGGGGAAAACAAAGGCCACAGGAGACTCTATAAATCTCCAGAGGGTGGGAAAGAGCAACCAAAATTAAGCTTTAAGGGCCAGTCTTTCTCCCAAAGAAATCTCCTCAACCCAGGTCTCTTTTTCAGAGGCTTACCATACACATGGAACAAGCGAGAACTGGCAAGCTGGTCTCCGAAATACCCATAGGAAGATAGAGACTCTGCTTGGGATTTTATCTGAGTGGTCTTTGTCAGCAATGGAAAAATCGGGAGGAGCGCAAGCATTTCAATTTAGATTTTTAAAATATTTATATCAAAGTCATCATGTGGTGTCATCTGGTCCTCAGGAAATAACCTAGTCTCAGTTTCCCCTCACTTCAAGGCTGAGACGCACATCCATATCTCCGAGCAAGGGCCAACCTAGGCTCTTTGTTTTTCTCTAACTGTTGCAACTACCACTGGAAACTTGATATATTGGTTGTCGCTGCCCTGAGCATGGAATCAGAGAAAGGCGCAGAAACGCAAGCTGCTGGCTAACTAGAGAGGGATTTCCCTGGCACCTTGAATGAGTGAGACAGACAGCTTGGCCAAGGGAACTTCCCTTTTGAGTCATACAGCCAGCGCTGCCATAAGTATGCTCACTGAGAAAAGAGCTTGGCACTAAGGCAAAAGGCCACAAATGATTTATATGGATAGCTCTCTTCTGAAATCAATACTCTTTTCGTTAATTTCCTACATCTAAAAACATTTCCTCTGAGCTGAAGAAAAAACCAATAGGATCATGTAGGGTTACTCTGCATCTTGTGGACAAAATGAAAGCCCAGAGAGTTTGGGTGACCTACCCAAGGTCACACGCCCAGCCCTTTCCAGCCTTAAGGCTTTTTCCTTGCACTACACCTTTCTGCCTCTGTGGACAACAGATGCATGTAGGTCAGATGGCACCTGAATTATGTTTATGGAATTCACTTCATAAAAGAGTACTAAAAAAAGTCATTTTTCACCAGAAACTAATAATCCCATTCCCCACACATCCAAATGGCCCTATTCTATGCGTGTCTTTCTGCATATCGGGCCCACCCGCACGTCCCTTTTCAAGACCCTGCCACCACTTGCCAGGCACTCTTGGGAACTGAGGCATCCCTGAACTTGAGAACACTGACTGAATATAAACCTGACCAGATGCAAACTCATCCCTGGCAAAGACTTTGTCCACCATATACAAACGCCTAAAGGACTGAAAATTTTGCTTGCCATCAATATTTAAAATAAAATCTCAGTTCTCTCTCAAGATGTTCCCTTTACACTCTAGCTACGGATAAAAACAGGCACTTAAACATGGCCCATCTATAGTGAGGCAATGGGATCATGCACTTAAAGAGTAACAGTAACTGGCGTTTGCTGATCACTTGGTCTGGGCCGGGCACTGTGCTGGGCAGGGATGTTCTGTTCTGTGCACAGCTGTGTGGCTTCCCGTTGACTGTGGCCCATAAAGCATGAAGAAGGCTGGGGCCCTGGCTCCTGCCTACCTCTGTGCTGAGACAGTAAGTGTAATAAACAAGTAATTAAAAGCAACCTGCTGATGTGTTTCAGAGACTAAGGTCTTAGTGAACACTCTGGAAGACATCACTGAGCTGCCCCCTAGTGTTCTGAAGGGCTCGAAAACCTCTGACAGTGGAAAAATGCCAAGGAAAGAGCACCAGGTTCTAGTCTAGACCAGGGGTCACCAAGCTGTGACCTGCAGGCCAAACCAGCCCACCACCTGCTTCTGTACAGCTCGTGAGCTAAACATGGCTTTTACATTTTTAAATGGTAGGAAAAAAATCTGGAGTATCTCATGACACAGGAATGTTATACAAAATTCACACTTCAGCGTCCATAAATAAATATTGGAACGAAGCCACGTTTGTTTACATGTTGTCTACGGCTGCTTCCAAGCGACATGGGCAGAACTGAGTGGTTGTGACAGAGACATTACAGTCTGCAAGGCCAAATATATTTACTATCTGGCCCCTTATAAAAAAAAGTCTGTAGACCCCTGTTCTAAATCAAGTACCACTTGCTCTAGCGGTAGGACCTCGGGGATGTTCAGGAGTCTATATTCCACTGTTTCCCAGACCTTCTATAATGGGATATAGACTGGAATAATGTTGATAAATTACTGGAGTTCCTCCATCAGAATAAAGATGCCATGTAATTCATAGAGAATGTAATTATTATGTTGTCAAATTATTACCTCTGTGATTGTCATATGAAAAACAGAGGTAATAATTATATCATCCTAGGTGATACTTAGAGGTTCTCAGGAAAGCAAGTAGAAACTTTTGTTTCTGGGTACGTGTTTTCTCTCCTTTAATCACACGCTCCCAGAGTTTTCACTAGCTCAGCGATAGGAAGACTGTCATGAGACAATCAGTGTGCAGAAACATAACATAAAGTATAAAATTGTCCATTAGTCAGGGCATGTTGGATCGGCAATGGCAATTCACCGTGAAAACAGGGAGAACAGAGCTGAGAGGAGTCACAGGTTTTTCATTTATTTGTTTTAAATCAAAATGTTGTCTTCTGTACTGTTTTGGGGGGAAGGATCAGAGTTTGGGCTATCTGGATGACGCTTTTCCTATTTATCAGAAATTCAAGGGAAGACTTGGATTGAGCCCTCTGCTAATCTAACTAGGAGTTACAGCTTAGAAGATAATACTGAAAACAAACCCTTTACCTAATTAGAGGGTCCCCTTGCATGGCCATGGCCTTGGCTCATCCAATATAATCTCCCTCCTTCTTCCTCTTCACAAAAGGCATTGTGTTATGGATATAAATAACAGATGTGCATACCCACACAGACACACACACACACACTCCCCTATGACAACAGAAAAAGGAGAGAGAGAGAAAAACAAGATATAACATGTTGGTGATGTTTTAAAAACCTTATTACCAAACTAGACTCACACTTTAGGGATGAAAATAAAAACATGTCTTCTTTGCCTAACACTGAACATATATAGGGACTTCTACAATCTTGCATGCATGGAGTTCACTTGTGAAGGGAAGCAAAAACCTATTTACAACCGTTATACGCTATGTTCCCTGAAGTTACAGAGTAATGGGAAATCCTATAAAGTGTCTGAAATTTAGATCCTGTCGGAAGCTACTCAACTTGCAGGCCTTCTAACTAGAGACTGACCATTCAAGAAGTATGTTATTACCCATTGTCTTCTAACAAATCATTATTGGAATCCTGGTTAATCCCATTTGGACTTGGATTTAGGCTCAAAATCTGCAAGTCAGCTGTTTTTCCCAGCAGCTCTGTGTCATGGAAAATAATTTCTAAACTTCTGCGAGCTTTTTCAAATTCTATCAAACACAGAAGTAAACCAACAAACCCAGCTCTGAGAAACGGCTGTTAAAATATGACTGCTCTTCATTTACAGCAAACCTTTCTGGCTCCGTCAGGAACAAGGAGAGCCAGCCCTGAGCCATACAAAGAGTGTCCAACTGTCTTCATGGACAGGTCCACCAGCCCTGGAAGGCTTATATGCCATTTCTACCCTCTCTGCCAGAGTTCTGTAGCTCCACAGAAGAAGGAAGAGAGAGCTAAGGCTTATGCTGGGCTGATCAGTAGTAATACTTAATGGGGGAAAAACCCATTTGGGCTTTGAGGCTGTACTAAGCTGTGGAAAGCATGACAAGAATTCAATTAATGTTCCCTATCTTCCACTTAGGATCTGGTAGAGCAACCTGCCTTCAGGTATAAAAGGTCAGTTTTAGTCCATGGAAGTCCAGGAGCCTCTTAACCTGGGGAATGACCTCTGGCTCTTTAAGAGTTTAATGAGGACAGCCCCGGCCCTCTGGAGTTCCTCCAACACAGGGGACTACTGGGCACGCTCAGCAGTAAGTCCCCAGGCGGCACTGGGGATGCGAGGGAGTCCACCTCCTATAGCAGCTTTCTAGAGCTGAAACCAAGGCCCCAACATGGAGAGATGATAGGTCTTACTGAGTGACGAGAGGGCCTGCTTCCCTTCCCAAAGAACTCACTTCCAGGGGGTCTTTTTCAGCCAGCTCCCCAATGGCTCTGGCTAATGAAACACTTTTATCTGAGGAAAGCATACTCCATCAACTCTCTCCTCAAGCGGCTTACCCAGTAGAGCACGTCTGTCCAGCCCTCCATGGTGATGCACTGAAACACGGTGAGCATGGCAAAGGCAAAGTTATCAAAGTTGGTGATGCCGCCATTGGGGCCAACCCAGCCACTCCTGCACTCCGTGCCATTGGCAGTACACTGGCGTCCATTCCCTGAGAACGCACACGGTGCTGGGTCCTCCTCAGCTACGATATCTGCAAACAGCAGAGGAAGGCTTGACCACTCAAGGGAGGAATGAACATCAGGAAACCAAGCTGCAGAAGCCAAGTACCCTGCCCAGAGCCTGCAACACTCTACTTCCCAGCTATGCTATCTCGGATTCCTACTGTCCTTCAAGGTTCACTTCAAACTTTCCCTCCTCCATGGAATTTGCCATTTCCTCTACTCAGAATCCACCCCTCTCTCCTCTGTCCCACTCTAACAGCACCTTTCCTCAGCCTATACAGAGCAACACTATTGATTCACCTCACGGTCCAGTTTCAGGGGGTCCCCCCATCTCGTTTACCAGAGCACATTACATAGGAAATCAAGATAGAAAAGGGAACTAAATTCTCATTTATTCTGAATATAATTCACACTAAGAACTGTCTTAGAGTCACCAGTGTATTCGGCTATCTTTTTTTTTTTTCCCTGTCTCTCTCTCTCTCTCTCTCTCATTTTGTTTTAGATCTTCCCCAAACCACAAAAGTTGTTTTTGGGAAAGCCAAATGTTTAAATAGTTAGGTTAGCTGTCATCTTTTATTACTCACCTGAGTCAGCAAAAAAACATGTTTTGTGCATTTTTCCAATAAAAAGTTCCAATCCTATAATAGCATAGATTATGATTACAAATAACACCAAAAGGGCTATGTGAAGGAGGGGAACCATGGCTTTTATGATGGAGTTCAGGACAACTTGTAAACCTAGGAAAGAGAAAAATAAGTTTGTGAGCCAGGAAGATATTTCAGTGATGCACAGATATGATTCCTAATGATGCTTGCTCTGTATAGGACACACAGTAATAAAACTCAGAGGTATTTCATAGCTTTTAATTAACGTTAAGCCTGGATGTGAGGTAAGTCAAAGAGGAACCTTAAAGACCATCTAATACAACTCCCTCAACTTGAAAGATGGAAAAACTAAGGCCTAGAGAGGGCACTGCCAGATATGAAAGTCATTCCTTTATGCATTTGTTCATCCATTCAACAAAATTCCTTGAACATCTACCGTGCAGCAAACATAAGGTTTAGTGCTTTGGGGGATATGAAGATGTATTAAATAATGTGGCTCCTCTCAAAGAGGTTATGCTGCAGAAGAAGACATAAGAATTAAACACAAATTACTCTAAGGTAGCACACAGATGCTGAATAAGTAATATCACACAGTTAAAATTAAGGAGGGATGAAAGGCATCGCTTCTGAGTGGGGGAGAAGAAAGAGGACTGGGCAGTAGCCTCCCTCTCAGGAGGACCTGAAGCATGAGGAGGATGGATTTCCACAGGCAAGAGGAGACAGCTTACTCCAGGCAGTGGAAGAAAGTACCAAAAGCACGGAAGTGAGCTAGTGCCACGTGGGCTGGGGGTGGTGAGTCTCGGTTGGCGGTCATGAAGTGGAAAAGGGTAACAAGAAAGACAAGCAGATTGCAGCTGGGTAGCTCTGAGTTTTGAATTCAGATCACAGGGCCAGAGTTTAGTCCATCGGCAAAAGGCAGCCTCTTTATTTATTTTAAACAGGAGAAAATCAAACAAAAGTTTAATAGCATGTATACATGGGAGAGACCCGGGAAAACTCAAAAGGCAGCCTTTTTAGAAAGACAAGTGGGGCAGCAATAGGCAAGACGGGCAGAGAGGCAGCTGGAGGGTGCTGGGCCCTCCAGGGAGGACAGGGTAAGGAGCTGGATGAAATCAGAACTCAGCAAGTGAGTCTGAGTTAGAGGAAGGTGCCCAGGGAGGCAGGGCAAGGTCAAGAGGCTAATCCTAGTGCCTGAACAAAGACAAGCCTGTCAAAGGAGGGTCCCCTGGAGTGGCAGAGGGAGATGAGGGGCGGGGGAAGGAGAGGGTAAGAGCAACTGTCCACCTGGTGAGTCTGATCACTTAACATGAAGGGGGTAGCGCCCTGAGGCTGAAACGTGGACCTGAGAGATGAGGGAGGGACGTGGAGACATGGGAGCTACCCACGGAGCAACACTGAGAGCCATGGTACAGGAAGAGAAAAGACCATGGGAACAGGGACAGCGGGGCAACACTCTGGACTGGGGGGAGGGAAGCAGGAGCCGCAGGGAGAGCGGTTGGCAGGAAACCAGAGCCGGACTAGATCCAGGCCACCTGACACCCCTGCACGTGCCCTGCGCTCCTCCCACCACCGCAACCAACCTCAGCTCCCACTCGACTAGCTCACTCTTTTCCCCCTTTTTTCTTTCTCTTTCCCTTCCTCTCCCTGCTGTCTCTCCCTCCTCCAAACTGCCCTTTTCTAGTATCTTCTCACTTTCCCAATACATATTCAAACAATGAAAGAACAGAAGAGGCTGAGATGCTAGAATTAAATACGTTAGAAGTCAGAACGCACCAAGCAAAAAATACTTATCAGCGATAACAGCAAAAGTTCGCCTTGATAAGAAGCACATGGGAAGAGCTAGGGGATGGGATGGGGAGGGAAGGGCGATAAGAGGGTTTCAGACTCGCAAAGAACCTCTTTCCAGACTTTCATTAAGACAAAACTCCTACATACTGTCTTCGGATACTTAAATGTTCAAATGGTTTCTTTTGGAGAAAAAATGATCAATAGGATGACTTTTAATGTTTCTGCCTTCTATAAGGAAAAGATGGAGGGGAAAAGAAACATATGCTTTAATCTACTTGGGCAAGGGGTTTTTTGTTTGCTTTTTCATTTGGGTTTGTTTGTGTTTCTTTTTTTAAGACATGGATGGGCCATCCAAAATCATCATCCAGCAGTTAGCTCTTCTCAGCTGTATGGCAGTGAGTCCTATGTTTCATAAGTGTGTCTATGTTTATTGTAACTATTATATTTCAGATTGGCCACATTTATGAAATAATGACATTGTATCTTATTGTGAATGTGTACACTTTCATGACATTAGGCTCCTTTGTATACAACCAATGTGTACAACAGATCTCACAGGACTCTAACCAAGGAGGCAGTGAAATGGAGCAGAAAGAACAGTGGGCCAGAACTAGGAGGCCGCTGGTCTGGTCCTGTTTGGCCACCCACTAGCCACGAGAAGCTGCCCAAGGTTTCGATGACCTTCCTCATCTAAAAGATGGTGATCGTAGACCAGATGATCTTGAGGGTTCTTTCCCATTTGATGGTCTAGGATTCTGATATATATTTATCAGTTACCTGTGTGGAGCTAGTTAAGAGCTTCACAAACATCTGAAGGACTCTATCTGAAACACATGTTTACCTTCCAATGAATGAACATATATTCACATACACACACAAAATCATGTCTTGTAGGACAGTCTGAGTTCTCTTGAGAAGGGATTAGACAACTCCCAGATAAGTATAAACAGTCACACCTTCCCAGGCATTTTTAACAACTTCAAGTATATAAGAAATCACTAGTCCACAGCTGCCGACTGCATGAGAAAGAGCATGACGCAGAGCCCCTGACCCATCTCCCCAAAGCCCAGCTGGCTCTGATGAGAAACTTGGATGCTCCAAGGCAGTTAATGAACATGAGCTGAGAAAGTCCTCACATATGACTCAGACCCACAAAGCCACTGCACCCGCATGTCTGCTCACAGCACATACTGCAGGCAGGCTGGCCTGTCATTTGCTCTTTGGGGGAAAAAAGTTGCCGTGGTTACCGTGAAATTAGATTAAGCTGTAACAACTGAATCTGAAACCTCATGTTTGCTCACTGAACTTCTCATTTAATCATGTTACAAGTAACAGGGCCAGTCATTTCCAAGGTATTTCTATTTTTCTCAATTGCTTCCAGAAGGTTCTGTGGTTTTGACTTGTGCTGATCTTTTTCAATGAAAATAAAGGAACAATCTGGAAAAACAAGTACACATAAAACACCACTTCCTACATTTTAAAATGTTAAATTTGAAATTTTTTTTTTCCAGAGAATTTTTGGTGCGTTCTGAGTGCCAACAGGTTTAATAAAATTTCATGAAGAACTTCTGGAGAGGCAAAAACATGATCTGTGCTCTTTTGATGGCTTTATGAGCTGTGAAAAAAAGGCACAGCCTGCAATCCCATATCTGTCCTGCAGCTGGAAGCAGGCAGCCAACTCACAGCCACAGTCCTTGGAGAGGCACTAAAACTTCCACCCTCTGAAGTTCCCAGTAGGGATGTCCTATCATGAGTAGAGCCCAGAGAAGCATATGCCACGCTCCTTACGGAAGTTCCTGGCCAGGGCACAGACGGGGCATCTGTTCCAACTCAGGTGGCACTGAACCTGGCCTGGAGATCTGGAGCAAGAAGCAAACTAGGGCCTGGCACAGACAGGTAGAGTAGGCTAGTGGGTGATACAGCATCTCTCACACTGAGGGCCCTCTCTGTGCTCCAGACCTTGCGCTGAAGGCTCTCCCTGCATTACTGCATTCAGACCTAACAACCACCTTCAGGCAGGTGCTACTGTGCCCTACATACAGGGTGGACACAGAAGCATTCACCTCTTCACCCCCGAGTGAGACGGACACAGTCCCTCCGTGGGAGAGTTAAATAGACTTTCAGGATCCCAGCCCCCTGCTGCTCTCACTTTGAAAAAAGGCAGTCAGTTGAGGCCTCCAACACCCTCATCCCCATAACCCACCACGTTCAAAGGGACAGGCCTGAGAGTGGGAGGAGCTGATGGCAGCAGATGTCAGAGGACGAAGACCAGACTGCAATCAGGAGGCCTGAACTCAAGGTCTCCTGCCGCCACCCACTTGGTCTCTGCACGAGAGAAGATTCTCTCTAATATAAAATCAGGAAGACAACAATCACTACTGCCCCCCTCCACCCCCTCCACCCCCTCCACCCCTGGTCGGGGCTGTCACGGGGACCCGAAGTGACAATACAAGCAAAAGTGCTTTGTAAATGGCGAAGGCCTCCATGGTCACCTGCTGAGCCCTTGGCTGGTGCACAGCAACTCACCTCATCGCACCCTGTTTCATAATCCCGAGACCCACCCAGAAGGAAAAAAATCAACAAACTTCTGGCTTTAGGAAACGAAACGTGCTTACTGGGCACTCCTGATACTAGTCGAAGTGGTCGTAACACTCGAAAGGCGCGGAGGGCTTTGACATCAAAGCCTCCCGATTTGCCACTGGAGTGGTTGCCGCCTTCTGCTTCTTTGGTTAATTGTTCCAAAATTACACTAAACAATCTGAAAGGAGAAGAGGGGAAGAAATGTTAGAGTCTGTCGCCCAGGGAAGCAAGACAGGACGGTGAGAGTAGTTACTTCTGAACAAGGGCCAATTCTGTAAGGCTGCTGCTCAAGTAAAGGGAAGGCAAAGCAGAGGTAAGAACCAGGCTGTGACTACTGGCCGTGATCCCTACATCTAGAAGGACTAGGGATGGGGACTGAGCTCACCTGTTTTCTTGCCAATGGAGCATCCTAGCATGTCAGCGCCCTGGCTCCCTGGTGAATCCCCTCTTCCAACGATGACAGTGGAATTGCCCCAGCAGCTGCCATTTATGAGGACTAACCATGTGCTAAACACTTTAAATTATCTCCTTAATCCTCAAAAATGTTAGGCAGTGGGAGTTATCATGAACATTATTTTACACGTGAAAAAACAAACTTGGCGAGAACAAGTAACTCGCCCAAGGCCACAAACTAGTGGCAGAAATAAAACCTGAATCCAGGTATGTTTGACGCCCTTAGATTCCGTAAGTGCAGGGAACTGTAGTCTGTGTGTTCATTTGTTCATTTAGTCTGTTCCAGCCTAGTGCCTAGAACAGTTCCTGACACACATGAGGCACTCAAAAAATATGTGATGAATAAACAATGAATGAATGAATGGCTCCAGAGTCCCAAATCTTAAACGATATGTTGTGCCACTTCCAATACAGTCACTGACACATACACACCCCCACCTCCACCTCCAAAGGGCTGTTCAGGGAATGATGTAAATCACAAGATACTAAGGAGCTGTGCAAAGGCCAAGAGCAGGAACCTAAGAGAAGGTATTAAGATCGTCATTTTCTCTTTTGAAATGTGAATAATATTGTATCTGGCAGCCACGACAAATTTTTCCCTACTCTCAGAAGGCTTTTCGGATAAAGCTATTTTCAGGCAATCCGCTCATTTGACAGTTACTTTTTTGCTCTTTCAAATAAACATTTGTTCTTTGGAATTGTTGCTTGTTTTTCAGAATAAATAGAAATTTGCCCATTTCAAATAGAATCAACTCTGGCCAATCAGATCGTGGAAATGATTGGCCCAGCAACAAAGAAAAGGTTTCCAAAGTTTAATTAGCAGCGAAAGCAGAAACTCTGCACCCACTGGCGTGCCTTTGGATGGCCAAGACACTAAGTCCATAAAACACAGGGTGGTCTGATTACAGTCCTGATGGGGCACAGTCATGTCATTCTGGGGTGTTTAAAGACAGGTCATTTGTTTTAATAACAGTACCGCAATTAGCAATGAACCTGGCGGGGGGTGGGGAACAGGGAGGGAATAAGTCAGGTCTTTACCTTTTCAAAGCTACAGAAGGTGGGCTCTTTCTGGTTATGACTGGGGAAATATATCAGATTTATGATAGGTCTCTCTCATTAGCATAGTTTTGTAATTACTATAAACCCCTGCAGCAAGGCTAAATAAAGTTAAAAGTCTCCCCTCCAAAACAAGTTCACAGTGTCATAAAAACAAAGCAAAACGAAGAAAGAAAACCTCAAACTCTTCTGAAATGCAGCAGCCACAGGAATTTTCATCCCAAAGGGTTAGGAAAATAATTTATGCAGGTGGTAACTTAAGATTGCTTTCAAGTATCAGTGTACCTTTGCAATGTACACTTTATGGCCCTTTTATCCCCTGTTCTTCGGTGATGCCTTGAAAACAGGTGAACAATGTCTCTCCCATCACAGAGGAGCCTGACTCAGAGAGGGAAGCCGGCTGCTGTTTCCAGACAGCTGGAGGGCTCAAGGGGTCAGGGCATGCTTCCATTCCTAAGAGTTAGGAGGCATTAGGAAAGTCCCTCTCCTCCTGTGGGCCTAAGTTTCCTACTCTGAAAACTGATTAAATGATCCAGAGCCCCGCCCTTCCCATTCTAATATTCTGTGATTCTACTCCTTTCACTGCTCCCACCCGAACAAAATAAGTACCATGTGCCTGAAGAGATGTGGGCAAGAGGAGAAAGTATTTGGTCCTAGACTGTTATTAAAAGTTTACCCCAAGACAGGAAGAAAAGGCAAGGAGCTACCCAAACTGACACAAATTAGAAGCACCAGAATGAGCCCCCCATGTTCACAAAAGCTTAAGCGATGAGCTTGAATGCTTGAAATACATGTTTATTGAGAAATTTAGAGGAGTGGGATAAAAGTTGACTCAGATCAAACTCTGCTATAAGAGAATTATATCAGCTCCGGTAGACACGCTGAACCTTCCTGTGGTCACATTATTAACAGTTAACATCTTAGAAATATCAATTACTTTCTTGATGTCTCTGTTATTGGGAATCTTGACAAAAGCAATAGGTCATGGTTGACTTGGAACGGAAAATCCATTGGATGAAGACAGAGTTGGCAGTTGGCAACTTCAGTGAGCAGGAGTTTGATTCAAGGGAAGACATAATAATTTAATTTTTCTTTTTCTTTTTGAACTTTTCTTCTGCTCTTTGACTACAATTTAGTACGTATTTTAGATAAAAGGTAATCTGATGTTCTAAAGTTTTTCATATTTAATGAGAAAAAAAGACCAAGTCCAGTTCGACTTTAGTTTCCTAGATGATTTTTTACTTTTTAAACCAACTTTATTGCAGCTTAATTTATACATAATAAAATACACCCATTTAAGGTGTACAATGAGATGAGTTTTGATGAATGCATAAGCCCCAGTAACAAACACCACAACCAAGACAGAGAGCCTTCCCAATATCTCAAACAGTTCTCTCATGCCTCCTAAAGTAATCCCCAGCTCAGCCTCAGGTATCCACTGACTTTATCTGGTTTATCACTTTAGGTTGTTTTTTCCTTTTCTAGAATCTTAAATGGAGTCATACAACATGTTCTCCTTTTTGTTTATCTTTTTTTGTTCTCTATGGTTTTGAGATTCATCCAAGCTGTTACATTTATCAGCAGTTCATTTCTTTTTATTGTTGACTGATATCCCACTGTATGAACATACCACAATGAGTTTATCCATTCACCTGTTGAGGAATACCTGGGTCGTTACCAGTTTTTCTCTCTTATGAATGAAGTCTCTTTGTGAACATGTATTCTCATTTATTTTGGGTAAGTACCCAGGATAGTCCTGGTAATAGGTCATATGGTTAGTGTATGGTTAACACTGTAAGAAACCGGCAAACTTTTCCAAAGTGATAGTACCATTTTCCATTTCTATAAGCAGAGTTCCAGTTGCTCCATATTTTGGTTAAAATCTGGTTTCGTTGGTCTTTTTACTAATACTAGTGGGTATGTAGTGCTATGTCACTGTTGTTTTAATTGGCACTTCTCTAATTACCAATGACATTGAACATCTTTTCAGGTGCTTGTTGACCATTTACATATCTTCTTTTGTGAAGACCTATTCAAATTTTTTTCCCATTTACGTTCTGGGTCATCTCCTTGAGTTATAAGAGTTCTTTATAAATTCTGAATACAAGTCCTTGGTATGTATTGGGGATACAAATATATGTATTGGGAATATTATTTCCCAATCTGTGCCTTATCTTTTCATTTTCTTCACAGTGTCCCCTTTGAAGAAAAGTTTTAAATTTTGATAAGGTTCAAAATTTCAATTATTTCTTTTATGCCAAGTGCTTTTTGGGTCCTAAGAAATCTCTGCCTACCCCAAAGTCATAAAGATTTTCTCCTAGAAATGTTATAGTTTTAAATATAGGGCTATGATTCATTTTAAGGTAATATTTGTATACGGTATGAGGTAAGAATGGAGAGTCTTCTTTTTCGTATGGATAAATAGTTGTTCCAGTGCTATTTGTTGAAAAATGTTTCCTCAACCCATCGAGTCATCAAGGCACTTCTGTCTAAAAACAATTGATCACATCCATATGGGTTTATTTCTAGACTCCCTATTCTGTCCCATTGATCTTTATGTCTATTCCTTACTCTAATATCACACTGTCCTGACTACTGTAGCTTTATAGGGAGTCTTAAAATCAGGTTCCAGATTTGTTCTTACAGATTTCTTTGGCTAGTCTAGAGCCTCTCTAATTTCCATATAAATTTTTGAATAAATCTGTCCATCTCTACAACAATCTCACTGGGATTTAGATTAGGATTCAATCTATGCCTCAATTTGGGAAGAACTGATATTCCAACAATACTGAGTCTTCCAGTCCATGAACATGGTACATCATTCTATGTATTTAAGTCTTCTTTAATTTCTCTCAGCAGGTTTAGTCATTTTCAGTGTACTATTTATCCCTAAATAGTTCATGGTTTTTGATGCCATAGTAAATAATAATGTCATTAACATTTTATTTTCAAATTGTTCATGACTAATATACAGAAATTCACATGCTTTTTTATACTGACCTTTTATCCAGAAACATTGCTAAATTCATTCAAAACATATAATTTAATATGATTTTAATCTTCTTAAATTCACTGAGACTTGTTTTATGGCCCAGAATATGTCTTTCTTGCCGAATGTTCCATATGCATGAGAAAAGAATGTGTATTCTGCTCTTGTTGGGTACAGTGTTCTAAAAAAGTCAATTAAGTCAAATTGGTTGATGGTACTGTTCAAATCTCCCTATATCCTTAGTGATTTTCTGACTAGATGTTCTATCAACACTCCTCAAGGAGGGGTATTAAAATGTACAACTGAAGATTTGTCTATTCCCCCTTTCAGTTCTATCAGGTTCTGCTTCGTATATTTTGAAGATCTGCTATTGTGTGTATGTATGCATAGATACAGGCACACACACACACATGTGTGTGTGTGTATATATATACACACTTAGGATTATTACATCATCTTCATGAAATGACACCTTTATCATCATAAAGTGTCTTTCTTTATCCTTGATAATATTCCCTTTTCTGAAGTCTACTTTGTTGGTTATTAATATAGCTTTCTTTTGATTAGTTTTGCATGATATATATTTTTCTGTCCTTTCACTTTCAAATTATTTATGTCTTTATAAATTATGTTTCTTACAGACACTATAGAGTTGAGTGTTGTTTTTATACGCATATAAAATCTGATAACCTCTGGATTTTAAGTAAGGGTGGATTTTAAATAAGGGTGAGTTTAAATCTACCATCTTGCTATTTGTTTTCTATTTTCCCTGTCCATTGTTCCTGTCTTCCCTGCTTTTTTAAAAAATTGAGATTTTAAAAAATTCCATTTAATCTCCAATACAGACTTATTAACCATACCACTTTATTTTTCTAGCGTCTCCTCTAGATCAAGTGTCAGCAAAAGTTTTCTGTAGAGCACCAGATAGTAACTATTTTAGGAATTGCAGGCCATAGGGTCTCTGTCACAAGTAGTCAACTTTTCCATCCTAACACCAAATAGCCATAAACATTAGTGAGTGTGCCTGTCTTCCAATAAAACTTAATATGCTAAAGCAGACAATAAAATACTTTGTCAGCGTTGCGGGGCAGGGGAGGCAATAAACTCTTCTTGTTCTATGGGCTGAAGTTTGCTGGCCTGTGCTCTAGGGTTTACAATATACATCTTTAACTTCTCATGGTCTACCTTCAAATAACTCCACCAACTGCAAAGCACCTTCCTATAGTATATGGCTATTTCCTTGTTTCTGTCCTTTGTGCTACTGTTGTCATATATTTTACTTTTATAGATGTTATAAACCCCCCAATACACTGCTGTTATTTTTGCTTTAAATAATCAATTACTTTTAAAAGATTTTAAAATGAGAAAAATGTTTTTATATTTACACATGCACTCATCCTTTCTGGCATTCTTCATTTCTTTTGTATAGATCCACGCTTCTATCTATTGTCATTTTCCTTCAGTGTGAAGAAATTCCTTTAACATTTGTTAAGGTGCAGGTCTCCTGATGAATTCTCAGCTGTGGTTTGTCTGGAAATTTTCTTGCTTTCTTCAATTTTTAAAGATATCTTCATTGAATAAGAGTTCTACGTGGACATCGTCCCCTAGCACTTTAAAAATGTCAATTGTCTTCTGGCTTGCACAGTTGCTTGCAGAGTTGCTTGGCTTTTTCTCTACTTTTAAGATTTTCTCTTTATCTTTGCTTTTGAGCAATTTATGATCATGATGTGCCTTGATGTAGCTTTCTTCATGTTTACTTTGCTCGGGCTTTGTTGAGCTTCTTGAATTTGTGAGTTTATATTTTTCATCACATTTAGAAATTTTGGACTATTTCTTCAAACATTTTTTTCTGTCTCCCTTCTATCTCCTATCTTCTGGGACTCCAAATATATGTATGTTAGATAACTTGATATTGCCCCACAGGTCACCAAGGTGGAATTCATTTATTTTCCATCATTATTTTTTGTGTTACTCCTATGTCTTCAAATTCCTTGATTATTTTCTTCTATTGAGTCTAATCTGCTGTTAGGCCAATCCAGGGAATCTTTCATTTCAGATATGTTTTCCAGCTCTCAAAGTTCCATTTGGTTCTTTTTTTTACATTGTCCCATCTTTTCTCACTGTAGTCATATATTCCTTTTAGGTCCATAAACATATTTATAATAGCAGTTTTAAAAGTCCTGTAAAGGAATTCTCCACTAATCCCACCATGTCTGTCATTTCTAGGCCTGTTTCTATTGATGGAGTTTCCTGCTGATTATGGGTCACAATTCTTCACATGTCTAGTAATCTCTGACTGGATGCTGAACACTTTAATTATCTGGATTTTGTTGTCTTCGTTTAAAGAGTGTTGAGTTTTGCTTTGGCAGGCACTTAAGTTACTTGCATGTCAGTTTGCTCCTTTTCAGGCTTCTTTTCAAATATTATTAGTAAGGGTTCCAGCTGGTTTTTACTCTAGAACAAGAGTTGGCAAAATTGTTTTGTAAGGGGCCAGACAGTAAATATTTTAGGCTTTGTGGACCTAAACCACACAACTCAACTATGTAAACAAATGCTTGTGGCTGTGTTACAATAAAACTTTACAAAAATTGGTAGCAGGCTGAATTTGGCCCGCTGACCACAGTTTGCCAATCCCTGTTCTAGAGTTAGTTAGCCCGTACTACTAATGGCCCTTCTGGGGTCTCTACTGACAGTCCAGGGTGTTCAACGAGGTCTTTCCACTCTGGTTGGTCATAACTTGAACAACTCAAAGACCTATGTGAGTCCTAGTTATTAGTCAGCTATAGCCCCCCAGATTTTCTTTTTTCCCTAGTCGTAATCTTTGCCTGGCCTTATGGACTATCATCCCACGTAGGGTAGCTTAGTCTTTAGCCAAAACTCAAGACGACCCCAAGGCATACTTACAGACCTCTTTCTCTCAATATCTCCCTCGCTGCTCCCATATCATGCCTCTCAAATTTCAGCCACCTCAGCCTCCCTGAACTCATCTCTGTCTCTTCAACTCAGTGAGACTACCGCACTCTTCTTGGTTCCCTGTCTTTGTGCTGTATGATAATCCGAAAAACGCCTCCAGACAGAAAGATGATTTCTAGGGTAGAGACAAAAGAAATGGAGCTAAGCAGCTCCATACTCTAGCTGAACAGGAAGTCCAGAGTCAGGAGAGTCACAGCAAGATTATTCCAGAACCAAGAGACCTGTAAGGCTCCTGCTTGCCACTCCTTGTTAAAGTTCATCAAATACAGGAAGGTATGATACATATCTTCATTTTAGTTCATGCTGCACTACCTTTGCCACAATACCTTAGAGTCCAATGTACTAGGGTGGTTTTTGCGAAAGTTAACATTTTTCTCTGTAAGTCTAATCATCCTGTTGGGCTACCACTCTGGATCCCACTTTAACTCCCTAGGCTTGAAAGAACAGGCTCAAAATTTATCTCACTCTCCCAATATCCAGCAGTATTAGTCTCCCATGAAAAGCTAAAGGATTCATGATAAAGAATAATCCAAAAGAAAAATCACCTTGCTCAACTGCAGAAGCCATTTGAGTGAAGTCATGGAGATAAAAACAGAAAGGCCATTTAACATTCTCTCTAGATAGGAGAAAATATAATTTTAGGATCAACCCATTTTACAGCTAGGCAGCTAAGACTCAGCAAAGGAATAGATCTTGTTTCCCTATGTGGGTATTTGGTCCAAAGACCCAGCATTCCTCCGACACTGATTCATTTTCTCTTGCTGGAAACATTTCCAGGTGTTGAAGAACCAGAATAACACAGGCCACTGTTTTTCTTTTTTTTTTTTTTTTTTTCACTGTTTTTTATTTTAACATTCTCCTTTAACTGAAACTGTTGGTGTCTTCTTCCTGTGACAGGATTCGGGGAGAAGGCATGATTCTTTGCATTTTCTGGTTTATTTCATTTCATGTCGGATATCTGATATTTTTCAAACACTTGTTTTGTTATGTGAAATGGGATAGTAGCTTGCCACATCTTTTCTCCCAACTCAGCAGAAAAAATTAATAGCTTTCCTCAAGGGATGTTAAATAGAGTACCTCACTGCTATGAAGGATTTATTACTTTTTTACTGTTTTATTTTGGTTTTTTAACTTAATGGGGTGTTAAGCATAAGAGCTGTACATGTTGGACTCAAAGCACCAGCAGGGCTGGCCTATTTGTGGAGGCCCAAGGCCCTGTAAGATGAACCCTGTCACATCACAAGCTGAGCTTAAACTTCCTTCCTTAACACGTTACTGAAAGAGGGAGTAACAACAAGAGAATTTCAAATTGGTTTCTGCCCAGAGACGGACAGCAGCATCATCAGGCTTCAAAGAACTCCTGACACGTTCTGGCAACAATCACTGGCACGAAGGACCAACCCTGTTCCTTTAAAATACTGTTTTCTGTTACTCCCCACCTCCCATTTCCCCCCCCCAAAAAAAACTCCTCAAATAAAAGGGACTTACCCTACTATTACTATAACAAAATCCAGTAAATTCCATCCATTTCTAACATAAGCATTAGGATGTAGCAATAATCCATACGCTATAATCTTCAAAAATGTTTCGACTGTAAAAATAATCAGGAAGGCATATTCTACTTTTTCCTGTGAAGAGAAACAAAGAAATTTTAAAAAGCGGGGGCATGGGGAAGAAGAAAAGAAACAGGGATTAGATCAGTATCTCAGAGATATAAACATTTTTCTCCAAGCAAAGTTTTATTATGAGAAATGGAACAATTAACACTGCACCTGGAGCAAGAAGGCATTTTAATTCTAACACTGAATTTCTCATAAGCAACTAAGTGTAAAACACTTTTCATCAGTGGCTATATTACTGCACTTTGCAACCTGCCTTGATGTGTGTGCAGTGACTCTGCCTAGGACATAACAGCACGTTTGTTATTTGCACACATTTGCAAAATACAGCGTGTTTTCCTCCCAAGATTGCCAAATCAGGCCCAGAAAAGCACAAGGATGCAACAAAGATTCCCACAGGGCTTTGAACAGAATATCCTTTGGAAGAAAGCAAATTGCGTCTGCTTTGACCCTCTCTTCCTCTCGGGTTTCCATCTGACTTCTAAGTCAGGATCATCTTTGTCACTGAGCAGCAAGGTGACCTCGGCAAGTCCCTCCAATCCCTTGGACCTAAGTTTCCTCACCTGCACAGTAAGGGGAGGGGATTCAGGACGGCAAGCCCACAGCCTCCTTGCTGGCGTGCCGCCTCTCCCGGCTGACACTACTGATGGGTCACCACGCACGTTCCCAGGGAGCCTGGACTCAGCCCCTGAATCCTCCTTTTCTTCCAGACTCAGCAGCCACTCCCATCTGACTGCCACAGACCTCCGAGATGCCACCCTCAGGCTAGAGGGCTCTTAGGACCTTTCCAGTTCCATCTCATGCGATTCCATGAGCTGGAGAAAATGCATCCATCAGCAGGTCTAAAAATGTTGGCTCTTTCGTCTTTTACAAAGGTTTTCTTTATACAGCTTTGGTTTCAATAGAAATATAGACCACTGAGATGTGTGCGATTAATTTTACAAGAGGCATTTGCTGGCAAAAAGCTACTGAAATAATAACTAAATGAAAACTCGTAAGTAATTAAAACTGTCCCATACAGGCCATAAAGTCCTCTGCTGATATTAATTCCCCTCTGTGAGACCCGAGGAAAGTTACGAATGCCTCAGGAAAATGGAAGTCACAGAATTCATTTATTAAGATGCTTGGTGCAAGGGGGCGAATAAATTTGGCTCAGGAAATGCTTAGTGAGCACCTCTTCTGCGCGATGGGCCCCACACCAGGAGCCAAGGTAAGAAAAATGGCTCCACTGTGGTCCTATCTTCGAAAGGTTTAGTCCGGTGCAAGAGGTAGGGGTTCAACTGTGGTACACAGAGGACATCCCAGGAGCGGGAACTAACAAAGAGCAGCTCTGCACCTTCATAAGCAGTTCTGCCCTCTGATAAGGCCAAAGGGTGAGACCACTCCTCCCCTGCAAGGACTTGCTTTGTTCCATGTGAGCACTTTTTTGCCTAAGCCACCCTGGGGTCTAGCCGTCCGCCGCCAGAGTGCCACCCCTCCATCGCAGACGAGTCCCAGTCCCGGGTGGGACTTCACTGAGTCTTACCACTGCATCCTTCCTCTTTACCAGCAGGGAAACCATCTAACCCCGGCAGCACCCCAGGCTTTACCCCCATTATCGACTCCCCACTGGTCACACTGAAAAGCCAGTTCATCGGTTCTTCCCCCCCACGTCCCTGTCATTCCTAACGTGCCCCCAGAGCACCTCTTGATCCTCAGATCACCATCCTAGCAGTCTAATAAATTCCTCTGTGGTGTCACTTAGCCAGAGTCAATGTGTTTTCAATTTTAAAAGCCTAGCTCATCCCCAACCTCCACACTCACGCTTCGTCCAGATCTGCCATCAGGTCCTGCTCTCAGCCTGGCTCATCTCATCCCATGCACCCCGCACCCCTCAGCAGGCTGCGAGGCCTTCTCGGACCATGACCTACTCCCTCCGCACAGCCAGCCACACCCTCCAGGCTGGGGTGAGCCGCTGAAACCTCCCAGAGTAGCAGCGCGCATGCCCCCTCGTGCCACACGCAGACCTCCAAGGACTCCTCTGTTTACTCTCTGCACTCCTTGTGAGCCTCGTGAGAGCAAGGGCTCGTCTTCCCGTTCACTGCCACATCCCTGTGTGGTGGGTTCCCACGAGAGGTGCACTCAGGCCACTGTGGATATTCTGAGGAATAGAGACTGACTCTGCTACTAGCTACAGAGGAGAGATCCAGGAAAGCTTCAATGAGGCAGTGACGCTAACTTGGAGAGCTAAAAGGAAAAGCAACTCTGTTGCTTTAACAAGAAGCAAAAAATCCCTGAATAAACCAATCTGCTGTACTCAAATTAGACCCTGACCACCAAAGGTAGATCGTCAACATGTTTTTGCAAGTTAGAGTTGTAAGGGAACAAGGTAAGCTGGAAACAGCACGTGGATTTTACAATTCCTCTTCCCGTTTTATCCTTTCTGCTTTATTTACTGGGCCAGACGGGGAAAAAAAGGCTTTTGCTGCCATCAATATTCATAGCAGTTATATCCCTATATCAACACAGCGCTATAGTGCAGAGCAGACAAACAAGACAGGGAACAGAGAGTACACCTACCGAACACAGCTTGTTTTTCCTCTTTAGCGTTTACTTACAAGTAATTTTGCCACAATAATACAAGGACCATTCATGCAACTGAATTGTTTAGGGTTCTTTTATCCCCTTCTCTCATCCTCCTCTGTCTCCTTTTTGAAGACTTTGTTTTCTCTTTCCAAAATCCTCAGTGCATTACTTGATGGAATTGACTATAAGAAATATAACCTTGCTGTAACATGATTCTTCCTTACAGAGGCTCTACCATGGTGCCAGGTGAACAACCACAGCCTGGAGAGCATGACAGACCAGTCTGCCCAGAAGCCAGTGTCATCTTGGTCCCCAGTCCTGCCATTTAAAAGGACTCCAGGGCTTCCCTGGTGGCGCAGTGGCTGAGAGTCCGCCTGCCGATGCAGGGGACACGGGTTCGTGCCCCGGTGCGGGAAGATCCCACGTGCCGCGGAGCGGCTGGGCCCATGAGCCATGGCCACTGAGCCTGCGCGTCCGGAGCCTGTGCTCCGCAACGGGAAAGGCCACAACAGTGAGAGGCCCGCGTACCACAAAAAAAAAAAAAAAAAGGACTCCAGTAAAACAAATACACCTCCACATTTAAGCAAATGTAGTGTTAAAAAAAAATCTTGCAAAACAACAATCATGGGAAGGGGAGGTAATTACTTCACAAGAGGATTGTTCATTTGAGAAAAGAATGTTGGGTTAGTGATCTGAAAGGAAGCCACCAAAAAGTCAGGTTCCTTGCAGGGTGGGGTGGGAACGTGCAACTGGCTGAAGGACCGTGAGACGTCACACAGAAAAGATATGGAGTCAGCAGCTGGGATGGAAGAAACCACAAGAAAGGATGAAGGGATGGGATGGATGAAAAGAGGCGAGCAAGGGCCCTCAAGAACTGAATATGAAATGAGGTGGCCCCTGGGCAGGGACTGCACCTTAAAAGCCCTAGCCCAGGCTAAACAAAAAGAGTACATGATTCCTGCACCCCAGTCTCCCTGCATTTGCCAGGCACACTCAACCAGCCACCAGCAGGGATCTGTCTCACTAGCAAGGGATCCTGGGTGGGCAGGGCCAGCAAACCATCTTTTAAGAAAGCACCAGTTCTTCACCAGAGACCACCCTATTATGTGGATGAAAAGTCCCCCATGAGACTCAAGTCACTAGAGAAATAAAGGCTTAAAATCAAATTCTGCAACCTGATTTATCTTCTTTAAACAGTGAAGTTTCACCGAACAGGAGAGGCTCTAAACCAACAGTCTCTAAACCAGTTAACCCCTCACAGAGCCTTGAGAAACAGAAAGTGTCAACCGGCAGGGAATAGGAGATGCCAGGATCTTTGACTGTACTTGGTTGGCAGCTGTCCTATTTTTAAGCATCCCTTTACTAGTGCTGTGGTACTAACATCCATCCATCCACCATCAATCTATCCATCCATTCATCCATCCATGCATCCACCATCAATCTATCCATCCGTTCATCCATTCATCCACCCATCCATCATCTACCCATCTATCCCTGAGCACCTGGGTCCTCCTCAGAAAGCCTGACCCCTACCCTCACAGAGCTCCCGGCCTGCTGTCAAAAGATCAACAAAGGCTTGATGAGCCATGTAAGGTTCACCTCTCTGCTTTGCTCATCCACCCACAGGGCCCAAGTCTTTGCAGTGGTCTCCTGGCGTACACCCTGGCAGAAGGTACAGAGTCTCCCCTCCACACACATATCCCTTCTGTGTCCTGCAGTCCCGGGCTCCCCATTGGCAGAGATCATCTCTTACTGTCTTTGAAACCCCAGCATCCAGCACCATACAGGGCACACATAAAGTACTCACAGGTGCTAATAGGAGGTAGAGAAGAAAAAAAGAGAAGGAATTAAGCAACAAAGCCAGACTGAAAGGGGACTATAAAAACATGAGAACTTGGGATTCTAGCAATATGTACCAAAAAGCAAAACAAGCAGGGTAGGAATCTTTCTAAGTTACCAAAAACCCTTCCTATAACACACCTGGAATCAACGGTCAGAGTGTAGACAATAAATAGCTGATCCCGACATCTCACAGGCCCTCTCTTTCAATCCCAGCCTGAGCCCCTGGTGAACGCCTTCACCTTCCACCCTCCTGTACCTTCTGGCTTGCTTGCTTCTCTCCTGCAGGAGTGTCCACTCCAAATCCTGGGCCGAGCTGCTCCCTCCCACTGTGTTCCCAAGTCCATGCTTTCCCTTCTCCATGCCTCTGCCCACGCTGCTTCACCCACCTGGTGTGCCTACCCCCGTGTGTGTCCACTCCCCTCTTTGGTGAGCACACAACCCTGACACGGCAGTAGCACAAGCCCAGCACAGGGCTGTGGAGAGAACGCAGGGCTTGGAGCTATATCTGTGTTCTGCTGGCCCCAGCTCAGCCCCTGACTGACTCAGGTCCACATCCGGTTCCCTCGCTGTAGAATGCCTCCCCCCACCCCAACCCCCACCAA